TTTTCAACATTCTGACACCTGAGCGTACTGAATTTTCCGTCTGCCGGCGATGGTTGGGGGTTATGGGGGGGGGGGCGTTCAGACCAACACGGCACGGCTCCACCAGTGTACCGCGCGCGGCGGGCCCCGGTGCCCCGGTGGCGCGCTGGCCTGGAAGCTCGTCGATAAGGTCCCCCCACTCTCTTTTCATATCTCCCCGGCCGCGGCCCCTTTCTCCCTTCTTCCACAACTACAACGGCTGTATCTCTTTGGGCCCCCCGCATTACGCTCGGCGGCCGGGCCGGCCTCTTCTTCGCCCCGGGAGTGACCCCTGCGCGTGTGCGTGCCGATGTGTTGAGTCGAGGTGCGTGCGCCGCCGGGGAGGGGCTGGGAGGGGAGGCATCGCAGGGGAAATAAATATTGCACACATTGTTGAGAGCAGGCGGCGGTGGTGGGGTGGCGCACGGGTCCTGGAGGACGCGGCGGCCCTGGAGGAGCTCCTGCGGGAGCGGCGCCCTGCAGGGCACACAAGGGCTCGTCCTTGAGGAGGGCGTCCTGGAGCAAGGGTGGGGTCGAGGGTAAAGCTCCTGGAGAGGCCCCTCGAGGTGGCCTAGTGAGTGACTGCTGGCACAAAGCTAGCTCAGCAAATCAGCCAAGAATTCAATTCCATTGTGAAATGCTGCTGTAGTGGCGCCGCCGAGGTTGGCGGAGTCCCACTGCTGCGGCCGCCGACCTCTGACCTCGCTGAGGTCCAAAGCTGTTCCCTTGCTCACCATCTGCGTGTGTTTTGTGTTGCAGACCAGCCGCTCGTGTCCATCAAGATGGGCACCACCCTCAAGCCCAACGAGATCAAAGAGGGCGACGACGTGTACTTCGAGTGCGAGGTCAAGGCCAACCCCAAGGTGTACCGGCTCGTCTGGTACCACGATGTAAGACCACCCTCTAGACTTGTCACCTCCGCTCGGCAAAAAGCACAAAAGTCATTCCAAACTTGACCCACACATCCGTCCTTTTGCAGGGCGCGGAGATCAGCCACAACCAGTCGGCCGGCGTGATCCTCAGCGACCGCAGCCTGGTGCTGCGCGGCATCACCCGCGCCGCGGCCGGCAGCTACACGTGCCTCGCGGCCAACAGCCAGGGCAAGAGCGGCTCCAACGTGGTGCAGCTCAGCGTCATGTGTGAGTACGGCTTTGATCTCGTGCGGGGGCGCCCCGGGCGCGCCCGTCCCGTCCGCTGCAGGAGGAACTACACCGCCGGCTGCCGTGCGTCCACGGATTAATGCACGTGACGCTCAAGGAAAAGAAAGGGAGGAAGTCGGAACTAGACACTGGGGAAAATATGCCGTATATCCAGTATGTTGTAAATTTATGACAGCTCAATGTGAATTTGAAGTCGACACGTAATGCTTATTGCGAATCACATGCCCACTGTGCAAATTTCGAGAGTGGGTTGCTAAATCCGCAAGTTTGGGAACGAAAATAAACTCATCCGTTGGGCGTGCATATAAGCAATGTATGCCCACTGGGTCATCAAATCAACTTTACAAGACCGGTAGGCAAAGTTGCTAGTCCACTGGGTGGGTTAAATTCCACTCATTTTTTATAGTGTAGTATTCAATTTTAAAATGTAATTTTACGTCACGCTTCATGAAAAAATTTTCCGTAAAAGCTTCAACTTGTTATTGACAGTGTATGACATGTTTTCGCGGTCCGCATTATTAATCTCTTCTGGAAACACGCCGTTGTCTACCCTTGTTCTGCGCAGTGGTTACTGTGTACTGCTTCAGAGGCACAATTTTTATTTTTTAGAAAATATCTTGGTTTCTTTCTTTTTCATTTTTTCATTTGTCCGACCGACCGACAAATGCACACGTGCAACAAAGCGGCGGCTGAGGTCTTGCTGTGTTTTCTTCTTACTCAGCATTCATTTATTCCCTTTCGGGGACCGAAGCCCGGGCCTCGGCCGGGGCTGGTGGACGACTGAAAGACCGGGGCCCCTTCACTACGTATTGTGTACCTTTTCCATGTGAATAACAAGGAAGCATTAATGGAGAGCGGGGGATGGGAGTCGGAGGGGGAGG